GAATAACAAATTTTTCTGACTCATGCGAAAACTTTTCGTCGAAGAGTCACTGATGTTATCAGGACTCATTAATTATTCGAAGGGTTTTCAGCGCTTGACCTTCAAATTACTATCTTGATCTTTTTCTTGATAAAACTCCAGCCAACGGTGGTGCGATGACCATCACTGACGTTAACTGGGCAGTTCTGTGCTTTTTCTGCGATTTACCAGCAGTGTTATGATCTTTTCTTCCCGTAACGACTACTAGATGGAACTATAGCTTTAGTCTGGAATTTGATGTACTGACAGAAGAGCGCATTCATGATGCCATTTCTGTGCTATTGATTTGATTTGTAAGGGAACTAACAACTACGTTGGCTGTCGATCCTGTTAAACTCGTGGCAAGGTTATATGGAAGGCTGAGTTTAGCCTTCAAATGACCCGAAATACCGCCTGCATGAGTATATCGCAGATACTTTGGCTCACAAGTTTCCGACTTTAAGACTAAATGATACTGTATTCCTGAACACATTGTTTCCTTTTGTGGGAGATGTGTGCAGGAGCTGTCTTTTGTAAAGGTGAAAGGAAAGGTTTTTTTGTGGTTTCTGTTATCTGTGGAGTTCGCCAGGGAGATCTGATTTCGTCTTAGGTTAGTTATGTAAATTAATTAAGCTGGTCTCAACATAAAACGAGAATCGCCGTGCATAATATACTCCCTTGATTTAATTAATCGTTGAACAATCGCGGATGCTTAAATTTTAATTTCTAAATGTGACATAGCAGTGAATTGAAGTGAGACCTATATTTCGAATTTTAAAGGAGTAACGATATTGGGCTACTGTTTCTGATAATCCATGAAAACAGCACGACTGAATGTTGTCACTAATTCGTGTACCCTCTCAACTGAAGTAGTCACTTAGAAGCATTACACTGAAGAAAGTTTTGGACTCCAGACGAAGTACTTTCATATAGAAAGGAAATAAAGAGGAGTAGGGTGAAGTCTTCATGAAATCGAGCTCTATACGTAAGAAATTACAAGATAACTCGTAACCACTTCATTGTTGAATTAGACGGAATTAGACCAGGCAGCATTGAATAATCGACTCTCAGGTGTAGTTCCATTTTGACATCAATAGAGTTTGCGTATCTCGGTCGTCTTTAAAGCGTTGCTAGCGGAAGCGTCGAAGATTTCGAAGCTTGCGTCTGTTACGGCTTTCATGCCAGAATGGCTGAGAATGAGAAAGGATTACAATCACTTCATTTCTGATCGTTTAAAATGGTTGTCCCTTCTTACATGGCAATTTATGCTGCAGTCGGTAAGTGGTACCTAACCCGAATGTAATGTAGCTCTATCAGTGGACTTGTAACCCATTTAGACGTACAATTGGAGATTGAATTAAGAAATACCACTGATTCTCTGACGAAAACAGCAACGCGAATGCACAACCGCTCTTACACACTGAAATATCTGCTCTATTGTAACAAGTGCAGCAAAAGCCATAGTACTGAATAGATGCCATCGTACCTTTGAGTTCAACCCACGCATCTTGATCGACTGGTTCAAATCCGGAATCTCGTAATGTCGTTGCTCAAAAGGAGCTGCATTCTCAGAAGACCGATGGGCGGGGAACGCGGTTACGCGTAACTACTCTATCCATTTTATTGATAATGGAATAGTTCAGAATGGCCCCAAAAAGATGAAACGAAGACAGTGTAATTTTTAAAATTTTCTACTCGGGTACAGAACGATTATTAAACAGCATGATAATTGTCATATGGAAAATAGAAATATTGAGTTAGTACCAATGCATCTTAGACTTGCTGGAAAATGTTATCAGGCACTATAATAAGAGCTACACCGAGATATACTTTTTGTTTCAATGGTTGGTAGTACCAGAAATTTTTCTTGCAAGAAAGAAGCCGCATCGTAGAGTCAGAAATTAATATCTGCTGCGAATTTAGGCCAGCACGCTGGCCCATCGTGTCTGTATGCAAAACTTATCTGAACTTTGAGTCAGTTGCCTTGTAAATCTTCTAAAGTGAAGTGAAGGCAGATAATTGATCTTTATTGCTTCGTTGCTTGTTATACGAGACGCGCCGCAGGTTAATGTCGTCCACTGTTTTAGTGTATTTTCGTGCTGTTCTTTTTTGATGGTGCTCAGGTTAAACAGATTTATCTGCACGTCTCGGTCCTGGTGAAGATTCATATTTTTGGACAAACCGCTTAAGTGCAATGAAAGTTTCCACTATGGATAAGATATATGAAGGAGCGGTTTCTGCTGTCAAAGCTGAAGGACTGCTATCTGAATGGTTCTTTATTAACTGTGGAGTCCGCCAGGAAGATGTATTTTCGTCTTAGTTATTAAACACTGTTCTCGATTTTCCTTTCCAAAATAGTTTTGACTTTGGCAAATACGAAGGTCCCATTCTACAGAAAAGGTGTTGTTCAAGACATCCGGCTAGATATATTGCTGACTTACACTGTGTCTGGGTAATACCATCCTGATGAGTAGTACGGAGAGCGGGCTTTGTTACCTGACAGCTTCTGTATGCGACAAGAGGGCCTTTTTCTTAACGTCCAACAGTCAAGTTCATGAGGACAGCGGATCTTCGTGGGGAATATCGAGATGAAACGCTTAATGAAGTAGACCAATCTGACTATCTTAGCCGCATCATTTCCAGCGATGGCACCATTCAGAAAAGTTGAATAATAAAATCGCGCAAGCCTCGAATTCTTTTGAAAACTTACCTAATATCTGTGCTGAATAAGGAGTATCTCTTTCCACATAAAACCGCCTCCACCTTGGCTGTGTCAGGCCAGTGTTGCTGTGCGGCATGAAGTGGCAAGAATGACAGCTGAACTTTGGCCAGGAGCCTTGGCCTCGACGCAGAGTGAGGGTTAAGTGCCGTAAAGGACTACGTAAGGAATGACTTTATTCTCCACCAACATGCACAGGTGACCTCAGTTGATGTGAACATTAAATGATGTTTAGTCGAATTACCACAACCTAGCAACGTTAAAAGCCACCCTACTGCTATAGTCTCAAACTAATTCAATTAACGAACCGCTTCAGGTTCTAACGTTATGATTGATTTCATCACCAATAATTAAGTCATATTGATCTGTCGTATTTCCGATGCATCTTTGGCAATTGTAAACGTCTGACCTCTTTTTGCGACCATTTCAGACAGTTTCACCAATTACCATTCTATAATTTAATAGGAATACAGAAAGAATCAAACAATCTTGATTTTAACTGTTCTCCGCCTGAAGGAAGTCCACTCATGCCACGCAGCTGTTA